TGAAACTTTTGTGTATGATGACCATGCTTTTGTCTATTGCCAATTCATCCATCGTTACGCTAGATATACAAAGTACAAAGAAAATAATTAGACAAAAAGAAATTTGAGGCCAGGAATGACAGTCAAAAGGTGTCATGCCGTCCATCATCGTAATTAATCATTGTTCAGGAATGATTATTGAGCAATCGCGAGCTGAAGGAATTGGAAGCAAAATGTATGCAATAATTTTTCATGCATTGCTGCGACTTCTCTTGTGTTGACGTCCCTGGGATGCACCATTCGATTTCCGCTTTCGGTTTGCGACGTCACCGGCGGGACTAGAGGGCATGAGAGTTTTGGGTTTTCGTCGTGGAGTTAAAGAGCTTGTAAGAGAATCGAGGTGTCCATTCTTAACACCTTTGATTGTGGAGGTTCCAAATGCTAGTGCATCTTTGGAAACAGTATTGCTGTTGATGAGGTTTTCGTTCTGTCGATTAAGGCGAAAAGCACCGACGTTGGTATTCTTGTCAAGATGGACCAGAAGGGGGTGAAGGCCATCGGACGTCGTTGGACGAGCAGGGGTAGATGACGGCGTCTCGGCTAGATCGTCCACAGATTCACCTTGCTCCTCATCTAATGCCTCATCCATGTGAAGCAAGTCGCCCCAATCAAGAGGCTCATTCTGATCATCGCTATCGTCATATGATGAACTGCTCGTTGGGCGGACGGCATTCTCGTTCATGAAAGCGGAATTTTCGAAAAAAGCTTCTGGGTTTCCAGTGTGGTAAGATCCGAATTCAGATGGAGTATCTGATACTGCGCTCATCATAATGTTGGCTTGATTGCTGAGGACTGGATTGTACTGTTCCATGCTGCCGTTTCTAAGGGGTGAAGGTGAGCTAATATCCTGAAGTCTGGTAGGGTCGGAAGAGTACATTAAAAGGTCCTTTCCATGCTCGTCTAATATAACAAAGGGTACATCAGTATTGTGATACCAAGTAATGACATCAGGTTGTCCCTTTTTGCGCTGAATCCGAAAACCAAGGCATGGTGGAGGTGGTGGTGAATTGCCTCGAGGTGTAGACGCATCTATTTCTGGACGATTCTCTCTCCAATCTTCATCGTCAGTTGTATCCCCACCCGAGACATCGCTAAGATCAGCTACAACACACGGTTGTTAGTCCTCGGCTCAACAGCTATGCTTGATAAGGGTGACCAGCTCAGTTCGAATTCACTTACATTGATACCCAGATGCATCCGATTCATCACTATCACTTTCTCCAGAATTATCCGAATCATTATTTTCGTTTCCCCATTCTAAATCTGGATCGGAACCATGATCGTCATCATTGTATGTGTCATCCTCCAGTCCTCTTGCGATACGAGGTGGGAGTGCATCTGCACTCAAGAATGGGCCTTGAGCGGAGGTCTCGGTGTCGAATAGATCAGGGTGCCACATATCCTCATCATCAGAGATGCTGCTATCTGTATCGTCATCGGTGAATTTATTAACCCTTTTGAGATCACCATTGGAACGAATTTTGTACTCCTCGATCATATTATCCTCGAAAAATTTAGTGTTATCGACCAGTTCTTCTGCCGAATCATCAAATCCTTCCCATTCTTCAAACTTCATTGTTGCTCGAGGTGTATCTTGTACATCAGTATCCTCCTCCACAGTCTCTAAATCGTCGTCTTCTTCAGCCGATTCGAACATAGCTGCTTCTTCATACTTTTCAATCTTAGACCCCCCGGTCCCCCCAAATACATCGGGCTCGTCATCTGAATCATTGTCTTCGGAATCACTGATCAAATCCACGGCAGCATATGAAGAGTCGGAGGAGTAATCGGTGACCTTTTTGGAATTCTTCAACTTGAGCTTTATCTTGGGGGGAGTCTTGAAAGACTGCCCTTGTGTGTTTCGAGACATTATATTTGTGTTTTATATGATCTGCAAGAAATATTTGTTGTGGGGTTGGTTGCGTATGACCGAAAGTATCGGCGGTGAGAGGCAGGTTGCAGATGGGTGGAGTGTAAAGGTAGTATTTCGTGGTAAATTATGACTGATGTGCTGTAAAAGATGGCACTCGAGTCTATGAGAAGTGGTCTTGAATTGTGTTCGAGTCAATTGAAAGATTTGAGGTTGTGTATGTTGTAGTAGGTAGGTAAAATTTTGATTTTGGTTCGTTCGGTCGATAAGAGCCTTCTCACCTTGGAAAATAGCAAGGATTGAGCTCGATCGATAATAGTGGTTGAATTTGAAACTTCCGAATGATATTAGACCAATTTGTTGTAAGTTGGCTGACAAGACAGTGAAAGTCTAGTGATTTCGTCAAGATCGAATGGTATAAGATTGGGGAGTTTACTCGTTGGCTGAAGGGACTACAGACATGCCCGGTTGAGCATGCTGTAGTGGGTATTCACTGCTCAGCGATGGCCTGCGGCATTGTCTTGACGTATTGATAATTGTGAGGATATACTTATTTAAATAAGTGTAGGGTGACTTCGTTGTCTTATGTTGAATTTGGGTTGTTGAGGTGGAAGAGGGAGAGGAAGAGGAAGAGAAGACATAATTAAGTTTTTGGAGGGGGTGACAATTTTCATAATTTGACGCTAAAGATTGCGAGTGCAAGGTGAATATTACTGGGAGAGACTAGCTGACCAGGTATGTACTAGGTAATTGAAATGGAAATTTAATTTTTTTCTTCTCTTTTTTTTTTTTGGTTTGAGCTTCTGGTAATAAATTGTGCGTGCGCGTCGATAATCCTTGCAGAAAGATAATATGGGGATTGGTCCATATAAACATTCCAACCGAAATGGAATGATTGGTCAGTGAGACTGCTCGATATCATTGGTCAATACCTAATGTGATTGGTAGATTCTGTCACACCTCTGTACCTGCCCAGTACCTGCCCAGTACCTACCTATTACCTACCATCTATCTAGTAGGTATGTAGTAAGTACTCTTTACTACTTCTCCGTTGGGCGGGTAGATTCATTGCTCACCGCTACTATCGTCACTATCAACTTTCAAAAGACCATCTACCTACTCGAGAGTACCTACGTAGTCATATAGCACAACTCCGAACAGTCATTGTCGTATGAGGAAAAGGTATTCTACCTCCACGGCAGTGGCTCCCAGAGGATCAGCGAAGCATCACTCTATTGACTACTCAGAAGTCACTTCTTCTACAAAGAGTCATATCACTCAGGTGTTAAATGGACAGAGTGAATTAGGTTTACCGGATGGATATTCTGAACTCGGCCAAGACGAGAAAAAGTCAGTACCCAAGAAAGGAATCAGTTTCATTCGTCAGCAGTTAGCATCTATCATTTTGATGGGAGTCATCTAGGAAGATTCATAACTCCAGATCAAGGCATTTGCTTCACTACCTAAATAGTCAATTTCTGGGAGTCATCTAGAGAGAGTTTCGTAAGCTAGATCAAGTCACAGATGCATGATAGTATAGGGATGCACGAGCTAGGTCGAACTAAGATACATGTATAACCAAAGATTGATATGTACTAAGTTGTCGCATTTAATATTCGTCACAAGGATAACAATATATGGAGATATGGAGCTACCGAAAGTAAAGTAGTCATCTAAAAAATCGGTGCAGTGTAAATCTCCCAAGTATACGGCAGAGTCCTACGATGTAAAGAGAGAAAAGAAGCAAGGATTGGGAGAAGAAGTGGTATTGTATTATTGGTGGTAGTTGGAAGCCTCAAAGTTGGAATATCGAATCATTCATGGCAAAATAGTTGATAGCAAATTTGGAAGTGGAGATTTCGATGCTACGGCGGGGCAATTGTATACGATGTACGGAGTACAACGGTCCAGTCTCATCTTCTCTACTGTGGATACAATTCCATACCAAAATAACTAACAACGCATGTCCGTAGCAAAGAATATTCTCTACTCCGTACATACAGAACACATGTGTTCCCAATCAGGCCATTAAAAGAAGAGATGATTTTGTTATGCGGTATTGGCGGACATTGTTAAAATCTCTGCTTCTCTTTACCACAGAGGACTTTAGCTTAAATTGACGCTCAAATTCGTAAACTCCGGGGAAGAGATTAACATCAAGATAACAAGGTGTTCTCAAAACCAGCACATAGTTGGTTGTAGATAGGAAATGAATTTTTCCCAAAACGGGATCTTCGGTTTTTGAGGTAGGTAGGCAGGTAGGTATCGGAGATCTACAGTATCTAACGTCATGGCAGTCCATCTAGTTCGTAGGAAGGTAGGAATGCCATAGGAGTAATGATTCATTGAGAATGTGTTCCATCCCGAGGGACTGGAGAAAAGGAATTTATTCATTCCTCAAGATATCAATGGATATACGGAGTGTGTAATGTATGTAGATGTGACTCTTGAGGCTGATATATGTCTCAGGAACCAACTTTGCCCCTGTTACTCGGTTGCTGACCTACCTTACCTTACTTAACCTTACCCTACCGGACGACTCACACTTTTTAGTCAATGATAGTCGTATAGTCATACACAGTAAGTACTCGTGAACTGTTTCTTCTCTTCTGGTGAAAGGGAAGAGATCAGCGAGAAATTATCTGTACTCTTGTCTTCGCATAAACGAAAAAAAGAACCCCTCTTCCCTTCAACGTTAAACTTCTAGCCCCTCCATATCACATCATACCTAGGTATCGACAATAATTGCTCAAAGTGGATGAAGTGGAGACCAATCAAAGTGGAGTAAGGGTCTTGCATTTTTTCTTTTCTTTTTCCCGTTTAGTTTGTTTTTTCGCCAGACCAAAAGCGGTGAGTAGCCATTGTGGGGGAAAACTACCAACTAGCTTCTAAAATCTTTCCTGCATAACCTTTGTGCATAACTCGCTTCTAGGTAGGCTTGTGATTACATAATCCTTTCTTGGCACATTCGAACTTTACCAGATGAGTACAATGCAGTGAATGGCGTCTGGTATATCTCAATGACAATAAACTTATCAACACCTTTTCCTACCTCGGTTGTCTTCAAAATGCTGTATGAACTTCCACAATGCTAGTAGGGTGCAGCATGCAGACTCCCCTCATTCATTCTTTGCCTGATTTTCTCCTTCCTTATCTTCATCTTTACCTCGTCCTCATCTCTTTCCTCCTCCTCCTCCTCCTCCTCTCCTTTTCCCCAGCCTAACCTTGACATCAGCATCTTGGTACAAAACACTGTTTCCATTGTAGCAGCAACTGATATCGCCACAATGACCACCCATCTGACAGTTTTCGTGGCCCCGAGATCCTTAAAGTCGATCCCGATAGAAGGATTTTGGGTTTTCTTCGACTCCGACATGGCTGGCTTTCCTTTTGATAATGGTTTGGATTCTGGGTCAGCATATCTTTGTGGTTCTGGAGTATGAAACTTACTCCCTTCGATCGTTTTTGTAGTTCGCGATGTTGATGGCCTTCCTCGAATCAACACTCGAGGTTTGCTGACAGCTTTGTACATCCTAAAGTTGCTTCTTGAATTATGGAATATCAGTCAAGCGACTTGAAACCCAGATTCGCACCTGTTCAGATGATATCCGCGGATTTAATCCCTTCTATTTTTTGGGTACTGGAGGTTGTGTGACTACAGTTATCATCACTGGCGCCTTCATAGTCCTATTCGCAGCATAGGAAGAGGGTTGACTAATTTAAGACAATGTCTAACGACCTATCCCGTTAGAATGCTCGTGATTACCGCCACAAAACTTTTGTTTCATCAATCATAAGCATACTGTCACCACCATGTTCTGCTAATACTACCAAGCGAATGTTTTTCATCGTTATTGTACAAGACTCTGCTCTTCAATTTTAGTGGCAATGCCCTCGTTTATCCTTCACCAAATATGCAAAGTGTTCTCCCTGTCATTCGACAACCTCTCTACAGACATCTATTAGTCGATTATTATCGCTTCACCTTGTAGGAAATATCTCATTCTCGCCTATCATGGGACTCTTTTCAACCTGAGTGTGTTCCATGCCACTGTCGACCTTATGGTTCTCTTTGCTATTCGGAATGTCTTCATTTTTATCCAATTCTGTCGCCGGTGCTGTTCCACCACGAGACGTAAGATCGAGACCGGGATACATTTTCGGAGGTGGCCTAACCTTCTCTCGAGACACTTTTGAATCATCCACAGTATCGGATGCTTGACTGCTTTTAAAATCTACAGAGTTCTCACCCCGAGAACCTGTGCATCTGCAGCAAAACAAATCCGTGGTCATCAAGCCAGCTCTCAAAAAAGACTGCTCATATGTGCGCAGGAATTTGGAAAAATGCCAGGCACAAGCAATGATAAAACCAATGAACGTTTCGGTAATTCTTTCGAAAGTGATCTATTAGATCGAGACATAAACATCAAAGGAGAGATTGATACTTACGTGACTGACATTATAGGTACCAACCACCAAGTGTTATCCCCGTGTTCACTACCGTGAATAACACGATACACAACGCTCATTACTGATGCTACAATAGCACTATCTGCGACGTTAGTCATTGAAATCATTGTTTAGTTCAGAGCGGATAAGGATAGATCGAACTGACAAAAGTCCAATAGCGAAGATTAACCCTGCACCCAACTTTTTCCTCCGAGTCATCTTCAATTTATTGAGTGCAATCATTGGTAAAATACTAATAGATCGAGGTATCAGCAATCATACGACAGGACAATTAAAACTTCGTTTTCCTCACAATAGGTAACAATCAATGGCTAAGCCCACTACAGCCGTCGGGATGCTAAGAGCGTTTTGGCGAATCATACGTGAGGTGAACAGGTGTTTCACCCATCCTTCGTCTCCCAGTGGAACAGTCAAGCATATTCCTGCAATGGTAATCGCAGAATACCATACGGCGGTGAATGAAAGGCCGATGAGAACCGCCATTTTCACCCACTTCATGCTACGGAAGATTTCCATGTATGTCAAAAATATGGTTGTCTTCACTAAGCCCAAAGTGAGAGGCGTGAGCCATGGTAATAGACCAGTTGTCTACAAAATTGTATTAGTTGTTGTGACACGGAAAGCAGATTGATTGATGTGACAACGCGAGGAGACGTACAATTAAATTGCGGTAGGATAACAATTGCGAAACTGGAAAATCCCAATTGTGAAGCCCGAGAGTTCCGTTACCCGTGGCGGCTGCAATAAGGTCAGTTACCTCCAGTAATATAATTGAGCCAAAAGAGAAGATCATGCGTACACAATATCACAACGACATAGAGAGTTATAGCAACAAGCTATTAATCAAATTTACAAGTCAGTATGATCCAGCCTATGTGACTTCCCAAGAATCTTGCGTACTACTGTAAGTGTAAAGGTCACTACGAAAAGTCTGTCAGTTGTGGGTGCTTTCATAAGTAGATTAAGAAAAACTCACTATCACTCCACCTCAGTCTCACAGGTCGCAGAATCCAAAATACCACCCAAGCTCTCACAATTATACATATTATCATCAAACACATCATGATAGTAGGAATAAGTATCAATATCTCTCTGTGAGAATCGGGATTTTCCCAGTTGGCGGTAACGCCCGGTGGAGGCTGAAATGCCGCAATGTTTTCAAGCGTGGAAGAAGGTAAATTGGAGAAGATCTCCCCAGACTTTCTTGGGACATCCTGGGAATTAGAAACCTCCATAATTTTTGTAACGGAGCCATGAGATTTAAAGTGAGATGAATTTTCAGGTTAACGATACAGTGTGTAAAGTTTCGAGCAGGATGTACTGATTGTGCGTGAATCGCAGATGACTTGTCCCTTTAATCATTTCGACAATACTAGTCACAACTTGCTGCATGTACTGGGGCCAGGGTTCTTATTTCACAAGTGTGAAAGGATCTAGACGATTTCTTTCGAATTTCTTGATTTGAGATAGTAGACAAAGAGCTCTCGCCTAGGCTTATATATTCGATATCTCGTGACGGGATTTCAAAATCTCTTCGTCTATTTAGTATTTAGTATTTTCTCACTGGATGTCACCATGGGCAGCTATTGGAAGCTCCCCTAAAAAGGCTCTCAGTTCCCATATTTATTCCAGAGGGAGTCTAATTTCCCCCCATAATTTATTTTGTACTCTGATTGGGCACGTCCGTCTGGAAACAAAGAACAGTCAAATAGTGGTTCGGGGCTAGAATTCAGCAGGCAAATATTCCATCTCGTAGGATCATCAAATTCTTGCCTTTTATGGATGTTTCAAAGCTTCTATAGATCGCTAGGAACAGGAAAACATTTCTCATTTATCTGACTTGAAAGATCTAGATCAAGTGGGCAGGTTGATAATCAAGCACGACAAAGAGATGACCTTTGAGAAGTAATCCAGAAAACCCCAAGTTCCCCACGATAAAGAAAGTAACCTTTCTAGAAAGAGTGCTAACAGGTCTTGACTCCTTATGCTACTGGTACTCGCTAATAGTACCCCAGGCGACTGATACCCGAAACAAAGAAAACTACACGACTCCAGATCTGGTCTTGATATTAAAATCTGCACTTCAAGAAAGAGGCAGTATTTTTTTGTAGTCGACGGCTACCAAATCAATTTGAGTCGTATCGTTCGAGTATTCGGCTGATTAATTGAGACCCTTTGACTAAAATTCTACTTGCTAGTCTCAAAACCCAGTACACACAGTCACAACTAGAAAAGCAGTGATTAAAGATGCCATACATCTGGCCAGACAATTCTCATTGTAATCAACTAACCTTCAAACTCTAGACGGATTGTGAGATCCCTAAGCCAGAGATGATTCAGTTTTCTTCTGCGTAAGATGTGCGGTTTTCCTTCGTATCACCATGAGTGCCTTTGATAATCTGTAATGTGCTACTTAAAGTGATGTAAGCCAAGGTACCTCCTAACTTGCATTTTATGAAAAGTCAAAGTAGTTTTAAGTAATTTGGTCACCGGGTAAGATTTTGGTCAATGCATTCAATACGGGTGAAGTCACAGATAAATTATAGGGAAAATTGTATGTGCGAGGAAAAAAACTGTCTATTATTCATATTTTATGTGTTCTAGTTATTATTCATAGTCGTTGATTCGTTATTGTCGTTGTCATCGTTGTCGTTGCTTATCGTGCAGTCATCGATGATTAATCCATCTAACACAGCCGTATGCAAGAGTAGCCAAGCTAATCAATACTGTTCCATCCAGGCCAATGAGATTTCTTTGTATCTGTCAAAATTCTGCGTGCGATCAAGTGCTCATGGATCCTCGGTTTGATTCTAATCCTATTTGTCAGCATTCAAGTCACTCAGATAGAAGGGTTGTTAGAAACTTACATCCCTGACGGCATAATCGTAATAACAGTTGACATTGGTTGCAGGGCTATAGAAAGCCTCTCCAGTGCCTTTGATGGCCGCAGCTGGGCCAGCGAAACTGCTAATGGTGGCCGATGCAACAATCTCTTGATAACTAGCCAGCGTAGCATTTCTTGGGATAGCGGCTGTCAACTTGAACGGGGCTTTAATGGCGATGTTGAGGCCTTCAAAGGTCACTGCTTTTTTAGCGTTGATGACACCGACAGCTTGTGGTTCTGGGTAATCTGGAAGGAAATCTGGGTAGTACCAGAACGCGGAGGCGTAGGAAGCATGTGTGAGATTGTCGTAGCAGTTGGAGAGGATATAGAGTTCGGCAGTGTCGCGCTTGGCGGCGGGGATAGGGGAGGAGACAGAGATAGTAGTGAGAGCCAAGAGGCCAATGATCAATGAGGCAAGCATATTTGGTAATGTGAGGCTGTTGAGGAGGACGAGGCAGATCTTATTAGGCGGTATGTAATGTGACCGAATAGTGAATAGTATTTAAAATATCGTCTTGGTGATGATGGGGAGGAACATTACACAGAGACAACACTCCCTTATATAATTCTCAAGCAGCCTGGCTTGGACTTGCCCTGGAACAAGCTCTTTGCACGAGGAACAAAAGAACAGCCTCGCCCATTCTTCCCAGTAATCTGGACCTGATTCTCGTGTCCAAAAATGGCCTGACGAGCTTCGGTATAGCAAGTGCTAATTTAGTTCACGATAGCGTAATCGCAAAACCCGTAGTCAGGACATGCTTTCCTAAACCCCACGCCTTCAACGAATGTCAAGGAAACTACAAATCATGAATACCACGATAGAAAACCGTACCTGTAGATCTATCGACCCACTATCTCTGCGATGACTTTCCATATCTGCACCGGAGGTTGGGACTAATATGGCTTGGAACTAGGCTCCGACTTCCGAGAAAATCGACGTGCAGCCTTCAACATACGCCCTCAGCCGATAGAACATTTCTGCACTGCAATGCAATGCATCTCGCATACATATAGTACTGTGGAAAAGTAAATAACTCACTCTATTGCTGCACTTGCGAATAGAAACCTGTTCATAGAAGCTGAACCATATGTAAATTGTAACCATTAGGGAAAGGTATCCGAATGGCTTGCATCTCGCTTACAGAGTACTGTAGTCTATTGAGTCTATTTAATATATGGAAGAAAACAACAAGGAACGCAATCGATATCACGGTCCAGAGTTTCTCCACCCAGAAATAACTACTTTGGCATTCCAGGATAAAGAAAAACGAAAAATAACGATGGATGGTTGATCCACTTGCTTACCACAGCCAGCCCTGAAGAAAAACGTCGGAATTGTCAACCCCCCTGTTTCCGCTTGGATCCTACCTCGGCTTCATTCAAACAAAATCATAATTACACTGAAAATACTGATATTTAGATATTCAATCACGAAATCAGTATTCGATTCCACTGTACCGTATTCAAGACATAACATTTGAATAATTTAAAGAGTTTTTATGTATGCATTTGAATCTCGATTCTAATTGCTGATTGTTTGATTTGATATCGAATATTGGAAAGTGAGTGTATTCTTAGGTCTCTTTTTTTGCGCCCATATGAAGCTCGGCTACTGGAATTGTCCGTAGAGACTTTTCTAACATATCTACGAAAGATGTTTCAACACACCTCTGTGAGAAGTATCTTTGATAGGAGCAAACCAAAAGTCAGTTGTTCGGAGAATTCACGTACTTGGATGCTGCAAAGTTGTGGCTGCATCGTGTAGCCCGTGTGAATGTGTGTGTTAGTAGCCATGGTGTAGGATGTATGCTGGCTGAGAATAGACTGCATCTAGGATCATTGAAATGTCGGTCTGGTACAACAGCAGTTCATGGATGGGAAAACCTAGAACAGTATAATATTTTATAGCCCAAAAAATTCTTGATAATGAGTTGTTTCCGACAAAGATGGGTCGTTGTCGACTTCGATTCCACAAATATCGGCGAGTTCCAAATGAAATACAATGTCGAATTCCGGCTTGAGCCTGGTTGTGGTTGAAGAAAAGTTCATGAGGGATCCATCAAATAAACTCCAATGCTGATCGGATCTCGGGTTCTATGGAAATCAAGACGGATTGGCGAGATTCGCAAGGAATATACAGGGAATCGCTGCAACGAACTTCATTTGGAAGGTGGGTCTGCCCGTCTTTTGACAACGGTTCGAAAAGTGCTGTAAGATAGGCCGATTTAATTTCTACAAAGTACTGCGGTGGCAACGATATTCGGGAGAGTGGAGTGCGAGTGGGGTGGGTGGGAGTGAGAAGGCATCGCAAAGGAATCATCTTCAACTTCATCAATATTAATCGTTATCATATGTCTAATTTTAGCTGCCAATGTTTCCTTCCGCATTCCAATATATTCATCGGGAAAAATTGGTTGTTCCATATCAATAAATTCGCATTATGTTGAAAATGCCATCTCGGGGGATCCCTATCTTTCCAAGCTCGTCCGAGATTTGGAACTGCTCAATCTCGATTGTTGTGAATAGTGCTAATTCGCATGATATTGAAATCTACTCATATTCATAGACCACCATCAAAGCACCCTCTTAATTTTTAATAGCCCGCACTTCATTCTAGAACAAAGAGGCTTTTCGTTCTAGACTTCAAACAGAATCTTCAGATCCTTAGACTGTTTGACGTACCGGATTCAATTTGAATGTTAAATTAATCTCGTTTATGAAAGCTCACAACTAGACCGCGCCTGCTGTCTCATATCCACTCCTAAAGACAAGAACATTTCACAGTAAGATATCCCAAAACTTTCCCAAAGCGACCAAAGTATCTATTGCATTTGTCTTCCTCGTCGTCTTCCCGCCGGTCAAGCATCTCCGAGACACACCTTTGCTTCGTTGCCTCCGCTTCATCTCTCATTGATTCTGGCCCAAGTTCTCTGTCTCCAATCTTTCGTTTATGAGCATCAAGGTTCATACCCTCAAAGATTTTCTCGCTATTCTCTCTGGTTTCTTCCACAAAGACAACAGATCTTCTCTCTTCGATTCTTGAAATCCCTGATCCAGCACCCGATCCAAATCCAAAATCACGGGCTATGTTCGAGCCAGGTAAGTCGATACTAAATTGACCAAATGTTTCTTCCTCTGGGAGTGAAAGTGTCAATGACGTTTTAGATCTCAATGCACGCTCTGGTTCTCCGAGTTTGCGAATTTTCACCGGAGAAAGTGGGGATGAAGCTGAGGTATTTGGTGTGAGATTTTCATTTACTTCTCTTGTTTCTGCGGGATATCTGGTGGGACAACTCAATGAAGCTGTATGGAGGAATGAAGCTCCAGGGGTGGAGGGTCGAGAACGAACCCGCGTTGGAGGTTTAAGGATTGGAGATTTTGAATCAATCATTCCTGAGTTTTTGATTTGCTTCTCCGACGCTGAAATTTGGATTCCCAGTTCTGGTGTTTGGAAAGAAATAAGCAAGGAAAACAAAATAAATGAGTGGAAACACGAGGCTCATTTGGGTGTTAGGGAAATCTTAACTAAGACAAATGGTGTTGTGTTGAACCCGTCGATGTTACACATGTCAATCAATGTCTTTGTCCTGGGAAATTGGTGTGACGGTGTTCTCCCATGAAAGGGCCAAGCTTGAGTATCCTCCCAAAACATGCAAGCCGTAGCAAGTTGGCATCTTATGTGGCTAAGGGTCTGCTTCAATTAAACTCACTTTGCACCTTACATAACTTTTGAAATCATCAGAAGAATTGGTAACACCATTGAAACTTCTCGAAAAGATTCCAACTCAGCCTCCCAGTGGCTGCAATGCGCTTTGATTGCTTGCTTTGCGATACTTTACTAGACGATACAGGGTAGGGAACTTCTTCATTCCGGTAGATTAAAATGTTACCTCACATAACCAATAAGCTCTGTATGGCTCCCACACTAATCGCGGTAAAGCTAACCATGTAACCCGCGATCGTAAAGGCATCCTGAATACTATGCTTATAAACTGCCCAAAGAATTCCAAGCAGTAGGCTTCCAATCCCAAAGACAATAAAAGCAACTATCCAAATACTTTTCATGTCCCAACCTTCCACAAACTCTAGACCCCAGCCAAAGTTTGTAGGTTGTCCTCTTTTACAAGAAAGTTTCTCCTTCAGCTTCTTAGGGAATCGGTCAAGACACACAGTATCTTCGTCGGCGTGATCTGGATGCAGAAAGAGGTGCATGAGATGATTGTCACCAATTGGAGGAATCACTTCGGGAGGTGCGGGCGAGTAACGATATTCAATGTGGTCGGGAGGTGGTATGACGTCCTTTTGACGCACGTCGATGAGAGAGCTGCGGTACATCTCGAAGTGGACAAATTTTATCGATTTGAGAGACTTCAATGATATCAGGTTCAAGAATCGACCTCGCATTGATTTATAATTAGTTCGAAGTATAGTGAAGAGTGATTGATCAGATTTAGGTTCGAGATTGTGAAGACCCAACTGCAGAAGTCGAGTAGCGTAGCGACCAGATGGGTAACATAGCAGAAGATACACATTCTCCACTGGAAGCGGTATTGGTTTTACGATGTTTGGGTTGTTCGAATCGAGTTGATTCTTTGATGGTTCGTGGGTGGGTAGGCCAGAGGAGAGACTTTTGCTCGAAGAGTTCGAAGCCCAGACAGCGAAAATGGAAGATAAGCTTTTCGAAAACGACTTGCTGCAGTCACTGAACATTGAACTTCGATTTGTGTCAGTGCTACCAGAGTCATCATTTGTGAGAGCTTGTTTAAGTCGATTTGCTGCTCCAGGACGAAGTTCAGTGAAATCATCATAAATTCTTTGTCCACATTTCTGCGGGTGTTAGTTCATGATTAGAAGTTTCTGGGCTATCGCGTAAACTCACACAACGCCATTCAACCCGTGTCTTTCCAATTGCAACTGGCGGTCTTCCCGATATCGAAATCTTATCAGAAAATAGTGCCAACTTTTGCCAGATTGTTTGATATACCCCCGTAACTATATCTGACTGTATGTCTGCTGAAGACAGTTGGAAATTGTTCAATGCCATGAGCTGAGTTCTACTTTCCCCTACATCTTTCGGCGTCGCAAAAAGTTCATCCTTGACGTCATCAGGCATTTCGGGTAATGCAATTGTCCAGTTGTGTGTCTTTGAAGATAAACTATTTCGTCGACTGGCTACCATTGGTGTTGATGCAATTGTTAGCTGTGCTCTCTGTGGATGAATGAAAATTCGTAATTTCTCACGAAACAACTCGAAGGCTTTTGAGTCCTTGACAAATAGTTCAAGATGTTGAAAGTCATCGGAAGCATCTTCAGAACTCTCAGATGCACTATCCGAATCGTCATCTATGTCCAAATCGCACTCCATTTCTTCTTCTTCAACATTCAAAAGGGCAGCTCCACTGGAGTCACTGAGATGATTTGAGCCTTTTTGTTCCTTTTCCGTCCGAAGAGTACTGCAAATCATATGTGCAGAGTTTCTTGCACGAAAACGAACAAGATGTGCGGCCTGTCGCTGTTCTCGAGTTTGAGCTTCTTTTCTTAGTTCGATGGCAAAGCCCTTCAGTAGACGGCTAAGGTTGCGCTCAAATCGTTCCCGAGACATTCCATTCTCCTGCAACGCATCCTCACAGAGCGGCTTTATGATCGCATCTTCGAGCAGTAAACGAACTAAGCGGTCAGTTGCAGTCTGAGAGACTGAAAAAGACGACATCGAGGACCCCGTAGCGAGTGACATTGCTGAAAATATACTATCTGCAACTGATACCACAGAATCCGTAGCGGAGAACTCAAAAGAGTTGTCGCTTTGGTCATCAGGAATGTCCTCGATGAGTAGTCTCGAATGTGAATCATTGTTTGCGCTATTTTCAGACAATGTCGATGACAAGAGGGTAGAAGATCCTATGCCTCGATCTTTTCGGTGGCGGATAAGAAGGTCACGAATTGCTTTGATATGGACTTCTCGATACATCGCTAATGTTGTTCGTGGCCAACCTTTTTCGTGTAATTTGCTGTGGACTTCATTTCCCAGCATTGTTATCGCATGATCCAATTCATCACCATCCATTTGCCCTAGCCATTGTGACTTTTCTAAGATCAACTTTGCCAAAACAATTGCCATCTCCGCTAGTTTCTCTTTAATATCCTGTGAGTCAACAATCTGTGAGTTCGCCGGAATCTCGGGAGTATGAGTCCATGTTTTCCCTGATCTTTGATGTTGGGACAACTTCACAATTTCTTTCATTCTATCCTCAGACGTATATTGTTTTATGTGCTCTTCTTGTTCAGCCATAACAGAGTCAGATACCTTCAAGTTCTTACCCTGGGATGTTGGTAAATTCGCGTTTACACCAACAGTAGCTCTAGTCAACTCGCTAAGGCTTTCTAATCCATGGCCATGAGCAACAACAGCCCAATCATGATAATTCTCTGACCGTCGAAGTCTCTTAGCAATGTTTGTATCGTAAATATTTGCATGGTCCTGGTATCTGGCCGAACCATTTTCTGCGTTTAGAGAATATTCAAATTGGGTAGTGTTGTGAGCTTCGCTAGTTGGACCCATGGTCTGGTCGGATTCATTAGCTCGACCAAAACTTAAAGTTCCTTCATTAGTTGAAGCTGTAATAGCGTTTTGGCTTTCGATAAAGACAGAATCAAGAGCTTCTGAACTGAACCCTTCTTGCCATTCGTCAGCGACAGCTTTTTGCTGCTCATTGGCCATGAGATCCCGTTCGGCTACCATGTCATCCTGTTTCGTATTAATATAAATTGAAGGAGCATGGCATCCTCCACGTACCGTATTCTCTCTACCAGACCCATTGTATGATCTCTTGATGGGAGGTAAATCTGACAAATCGCTAGACTCTAACTCTGCCATAGTGCGCTCCGCCAAAAAATTTCGCTTCAAGAATTCCCAGCCAAGTTCAGTCAAAGGACGGACATCTTGGATAGTTGTTCTATATGATGGCATACTGGCTAGCAATTCCTTGGTTAAAGGTGGATCAAGTTCCGCACAACGTCTCTCGATATCTGCCCTTCTTTCAGCTCTCAACTCCGCAATTTCGAATGCAGTTCTTTCCGGCATGGGCTTTGTGTATCTATATCCATCGTGACCTAATTCAGCTGATAACTGACTCGAACTCTTTCTGTGGGTATCTGGGTTTGATTGAATACCAATATCATGCGTTCTACTCTCCATGGCATTCTTCCAATGAGTGAACTCTTCATTACCGAAAGATTTACTGGCGACTGGAGATTTGGATCCAGGCGTGGAAGGAGCCTCATTACTCCTTTCTTCAAGCTCGACGCTGCCTTTATTTGATCGTGATACAATATCATCCCCATCTTCCGATATATTTCGATGATCACGCAACCAATGTGCCAATTCTGATGAAGAATTCTTCTCAACAGCAGCCATGAAAAGTTTGATCTGCGAGGATTTATCAGAAGAGGTAGGGTCGATTCCGAAGCTCTTTTCGAATCTGAGATAACGGTAATGACATTGATCAGCCGTCTTGGATCCAACTACCGTTGAGACAGCGGGCCAATCTTCCAATCCGAGTCTGGCAATAGTTCGTAGCAAAGAAGCATCTTCTGAGGTCGACCATCGTACAATTTCAAATTGATCCTGAGAGCTGACATTATGCGAATCATCAATGTTTCGAAAAGCTTTCCCAAGATCTCGAATATTATTGCTGGTAAATTTTCTCGTACCTGTGAGGTTATCCCTTTGTTTGAAATCAGATTGCAAAATATTCATTCCTGCAGCCCCATTTTTGACTATATCTGGAGATGACTCCACTACAGGAGCTGTCGATTGTCCAAAGAGTCTTTGCGCTTCCTGAAGCTTGCCCTGCTTTTGATAAACATGACCGAGTCTATTTGCTGTATTGCGAGTTGTGGGGTGATTGTTTCCCAAATATCTTTCAAAATTAGCCAAAGCTTGAACATACATCTCCTCAGCTTTAGTCACATTACCCTGCCGGTAATAGATGCGACCAAGGTTGTTCATTACAGCATTGATTAGCATTTGCGTAGGACCGCTAGCATTTTTATAGCCATTTAGAGCTCGCAAATACATGTGTTCAGCTTCGACCAGCTTTCCTTGATCGAAGTAAACACGAGCTGTATTTTTCACGGTATCGATTGTGGAAATATCGTCGGGACCTAGTTCTATTTGCTTGGCCTCAAGAGTTTGTAGAAGAGCCTTTTCGGTCTCTATCCATTGTAACTCCGAATCAATATTACAAATCGCTGTGGCATACTCTTTTGACCCGTCTGCTTTGAGCTGTTTTGTCCTTCGACGATTCCGGGTGTCCTGATCCACCAACAACGGCGTTTCCACAAATTGACGTTTCTTCAATCGTCTTTCCATGTCCTCACACAGCCTATTGATTTCAATTCTAGTTTCGTCTGTTGCAAGGTATTTCTTTTGTGTTATACGTCGCTGTAAATCATCAAATTCCCTGCAGTGACGGCTCTTCATCTCCTCGAAAGTTTCAAAGGATTCTATTGTCAAATCACCGCTTTCTGTTCGAGATATCTCTACAGGAACAAGTTCACTTGCCGCGGAAAGCTCTTCACCATGTTCGATAACTTGATCTGGAGTAGATTGACATGGTACAGGACTAACCTCACGATTAACCGCAGCAGGTAGCGTCTCTGAAGGTAGTATTTCGCGTCTAAACTTCAAACGAGTGCCATCATCTGAGTCTAGTTCTACAGGATCCAGACGAATTTGAGCTGTTTTCAGCCCTACAAAGTCGTGAGGTTTTGGGTTTTCGCGATGGGAGGCAGAGAGGTCGTATCTTTGCATTTTTAACGGAAAGCTGGAAGCTTTGGATCCCTCTGGCTGCTGCTCATATCCAGTATTTTTGCAATTCGTGGATATATGTTTCTATTTATAAGTCAGATTCGACAGATTCGATAGATTCGATTTAACAGTTTCAGGTATACTAGCTTCAAGATCATCATTTGTCGGAAACATTCCCTCACATTCATCGCAATTGAAGGCCAGTCCAGCCGCATGCTTGTATTTATGCCATTGAAGATCTTCAGCCCTGTAAAATGATCGAGGGCATCGATCACATTCAAAGGGAAGCGGCAACTCTACGTAGTCCGTCTGGACATTGGAGCGTATTGCCTGCGAATCGCCATTATGACTATCGGCTGAATCACGAAGATTGCCTGATGCAGTGCTGTGTGAGGCCTCGCGCCATCGATCTCCCGCTCCATCGCCTTCATCAAAACGAATCACGTGTCCGTTCACCTCCGGTAATGTCTCCGGCAATGGCTCTGGAAACGGAAAATCAGCGTCAGACATCGAGGAAGCTGGCTGATAATCACAATTCCGACATGCGATACACGCGTTAGTGAATCTAGAGAGAGCTGATAAACGATGAAAGATTGAAGCAACAAAGTCGACGGTCAAAATGACATGTAAACTATAGGTGGGGTGCTGAGCACGATTTCTTCAGCCGTCGAATGCTTACATGCATTGCATGGGGCTGTGTGGAGTGCAAGGCAAGTTGAGGGTCCGCCATTATGCCCAATCGGTGGTCATCAAATCGAGATACTGTAACCAAGCAGTTGCACCGACGGTTGATGAAGATCATAGAGTCATCAGATAAACTGAAAAATGTTCAGTTGTGGGGCGAGGAGACGAGGAACTGGTGAGCAAATCATTCGAATGTAATGTTAGGCAGCATGTTCTGCGATGAAATTAAACTTGCATGGAAACATATTCTAGAACACAATCATTATTACAAGAAGATGTGTAAAGATTGGAATCCTATAATAAGGTATGATATGATAGGAAAGAATCCGAAAGATGCATAATTTTCTGGTCATAGATTCTTGGTTTATGGGAAATGTTGTTGATGTTGGAAAGACGCGTCGAGATTATTCATCTTTTAGGCTTTCTTTCACACTGTCTGTGCGAGTTTATGGCACTAGCTAGGCCCACAATAGCCTGCCCTAAGGTTCGCCTTGATATTGCTTACAGAAATGACTCTATATTGATGAAGCATAAGGCGTTGGCTACTCACTCTCTCTGAACCTCAAGCCAAGGACTATATTATATTCATCTGACTCGAATTCATTGTGAATCATTCCATCGCAAAAGATCCATGAAAGGCATACATGGCACAAACTCCCAGAGTCCGAGTCCAAGTCCGAGTCCGTCTTATGAGAACATGGAGACTTAACCGTTGAAAGATGGAAGAAAAAAGGCAGAAGAGACGGTCATCATCTAGATATTGAGATGTCGGTTCATCGAACAACATACTGTGAATGTTTGTACCTTCATCGGTTATTACAACCAGTGAAATGATGCTTGTATATCGTTCATCGTTGCAACAAGAACACATCCACAACTTCAGGAGTCAACCTTGGTATCAAAATGAACGAATGTTTCTTCCACTCGGGATGTACGAAATTCGGATGATTATCCTGATAGGGAGTGGGAGGTCTTTATTGCTATAAGCATAAATGGTACTGATACGGAGAGCCACCCCCTAATGCGACATTTGAATGTCCCCCAGCTTACTTTTCGACTTTATTTCTCCATTACAAGTGGCCATCATTGACAGATAATTGGCTTCGCCAACTCAATGTGTGTGAGTAGGCGCAAATGTTGAACGGGCGCAGTAAGCCACATTTTACATCAGAACAATGGACCATGATAAGCAGAAGATGTGCTTATGTATTCTATCTGAACCTCAAATCTTAGTCGACAGATTTTGTTAACAACATGCCGTTTATGTCATGTTTGGATGATCTCTAGAAAAATTTCCATTCAATATGCATTGATAGTTGTTCGTTTCATCGTATTGAGTTTTTGATAAAATGAAGTTCCCTAACATTGCGATAAGTTTTGCTGTGCTCAGCGAACTTAGGGACTTGGCATGCGGTAAGGTCAAGCGCAACCCCGATACTTAAAAGAAGCACTACCGTCACCAAAGTAACGACTAATAAAGCTTCACAGTCTCTGCCCTCGCAGTCTTTGCTCCTTCCGATGGTCCAGTCTATTCCCTGGGTATTCCTTCGACAACGGTGTCGGCTGGCACTGGTAACATATATTTCCAGCTCAGCGCACCAGATACATATCAATGGGCTGCACTAGGTATTGGGCGCACCATGGCCGGTGCATATATGTATATAATGTATAGCGATGGCAATGGAAACGTCACCATTAGTGCGAGGGCTGGAGGACAAGGACATGTAGAACCAAAGGTTACTGGAGGACCAGGAAGCCAGGTGCAATTGCTTGCGGGTAGTGGAATTACCGGAGGAGTGATGAGAGCGAATGTTCTGTGTAGGTTATGTTATAGTACCCGGAGACTTTAGTTGTTTCTGAGCTTCGGGAGCAATCTGACAATATTGATACGGGAAATTTTATCAACAGTCAGTTCCATGTAAGCTGATGGACATTAAATTAGGTACGAACTGCCCTCTTCCATCCACAACATCCACTGCTTTACCATGGATAGCAGCTTGGAACTTGGGCTCTCCAATCGACAGTACCTCGACTTCGTATACTATAAACCAACACGACGATAGTAGCTACCGGCAATTTACCTATGATCTCACAACTGCTGTAATTGAATCGGATGAGAACCCATTTCTATCCAATGGTACAATTACATCTACGTCGGGAGGTGGAAGTGAAGAGCATGGAACATCGGCCTCCACACTCAACGCCTATAGTATTGCCCACGGCACCATAATGAGTATTACCATGGTTATTCTCTTCCCGCTAGGAGCAATGATCATGACTATGTTTGGAAAATGGTGGATTCACGCAGCCTTTCAAACATTCAGTTTGGTGATGCTGATTGCTGGTTTCGGATTGGGTGTGAAGTTGGCAATGTCCAAGGATTATGTATGTATTTCCGTTCATCCATCATTGAATTCATTGCTTTCTTATGGAGTATCCAGATTCAATGTTCAAATTCAAAATGAAATGACTGACATATAATAGCTATTCGAGAATCAAGGTAAAACACATACAAGCTCTGGTCTAGCTCTCTTTGTCCTCTTAATTATTCAAGCTATCGTGGGCCTCATTCATCACCTCGCTTACCGAAAACAACACGTTAGAGGATTTCTGGGATATATACATATTTGGTATGGCCGTTCTCTACTCATTTTGGGAATTATCTACGGTGGCTTAGGATTGCAATTGGCAAGAAACACCAAAGGTGGTGAGATTATTTATGGACTTGTGGCGGGGCTGGTAGCCATATCTTATTTTACGATATTGGTGTTGAAGAATATGGGAAAGTTTGTGGATAATAAAGCGAGAAAGAGTGAAAGTGGAGAAGAAGGAAGAAACATTGGAGAAAGAATTCCGATGAAGGGTAGGATACCGGCGACGATCAAGCATAGTAGCGAGCGATTTCCGGCGACTAGTCGATTATAAAGATGTTCTTATAGCAGACATCGGCTTGGAGGAAAATATACCTCGGGCAGTGCGCAGTGTGTAAGTTTGAGAAAAGGATACTTCATATATAAAGCAATGAGTGTTCTCTAGAATGGTGTCATCAAACATGATGTCGGTAACGCGCGCATACATATGGTTTAGGGCGTACTTGGAATCAACAGAAATTCTAACATTTCAGTATCGAGTCTATATTTGTATACCTAGGTAGATTTCGACTTCTCAAAAGAGTCCAGTAGTAAATATGTTTTAGGTGCTACTAGAATACTATATCAATTACCTCTGAAGAATAATATATAGTGTCAGGGAAATCATCACTGTGTGCCTAGCCGACTTCTTATCAGCAGTTTCCAAGTCGATTTCGTTTTTCAACATGGCTTTGATTTTCCAACAGATAACATGTATTCACCCACCGCAGCTCGGACCTTACAAAGAATGATTGTCTTTTTTATTAATCTCTCGGTATTCACCGATTTGACTTGGAAAGTATAATACCATTATTTCACGCGTTCTGTGTCTGTATTTTACAAGATAACTAATCTCCAATTTATTATTCATTGCATGACTGCAACCTCAAATCTTGTTCGAAACTTCATTCCGCTCTAGTATGACTTTTCCACCCTCAAAAAGAGTTTACCTCAGGCCCACTTCAACACCCAATCACTGCTCCATGCTCCATCACTGGTGACGTTAGACAATTCTTTGATGTCGAGTACTTGGCTGGTAAAATTATATGTCCATCCACTGGCGAGACTAGCACCATTCAATGTAACGGTATTAACACTTGACGAGATACCCATGATGGTGATATTTGCAAGTGGATTACTATCAACGTAACTACCTCGACCTGATGCATAGAGTGAATTCTGCGTCATTGAGAAATCCACCCAAAGAGTAGCATTTGGAGCCAGAGATTCTCCATCGTCTAGGTAAAGTTCACCACTAGCAGTTCCTTCTAGGCTGGATGCAATCAACAAGCCCCATGGATTATTTCTACATTCACGAGTCGTCAATGCAGGCTCTTGAATTGGAAGAATGGCGCCACCTCGAATGTAAACAGGAATATGACCAAGTGGTGCATCAATTGTGATGTTTTGACCGGGAGATGAGGTGATAGCAGATTGATTATACCAATCATACCAGACCTGCCCTTTTCCTGATCCTGGGAATACACCGTCGACGGTAGTAGCGCCTTGCTCTAACACGGGTGTCACCATGATATTTGGGCCGAGTAAGAACTGTCGATCCGCAGACGCTAGAGTGGGGTCATTAGGAAATTCCCAGGCAAGAGCGCGCATCACGGCTGAGCCAGTGGAATGAGCCAGGTAGAATGTAGTGTAGATATATGGTAGGAGAGTATATCTAATCGTAGTGGCTGCCTTGGTCGCATCGATGACGGATGCCCACACATAAGGTTCTTGGGAGGGGCGGCCAAAGTATTATGATTTCGGTAAAAAGGAAAAAAGGCAGAGACTTGCATCCAGCGATTGCAGAGTTCCTCATCAGAATTTCCAGAGAAGCCACATGTATCTGCGCCAAACATAGGAATTCCAAACAAAGAGAATGACAGAGCTTGGGGGATGGAGAAGAACATGTAGGCCCACAGGGAGTAATTGTCGCCGCCCCAATGTCCGGCCCATTTCCCAGATCCTGCAAATGTAGAACGACCAATGATAAATGGACGCTTGGATGGAGAGACATTAAGGAGAGCATGATAAGTTGCATTCAAAATCTGGTGTCCAAACAAATTATGATAGTCGTATTCTTGAGTCCCACCGTGATGTGTTGCATTTGGTGACACGGCATGAACATCCAATGAACCTAGGAAATTGTTGATGGTGTACGGAGGGTAAATTATATCGCGGACTCCTGGTGTGGGTGTTGTGCGGATGTAACTCGTGGATGAGGACGACGATGACACAGTTGATGTAGCGTAAGCGGAAGACTGACTGGCAGAAGCAGAAGATGCAGCTGCGGCTTCAGTGGCATTGGTAAGATTAAATCCTTCTGGATAGGTAAAGTCGATGTTCCCCGGTTCGCCGGGTAGAAGGAACGGTGGATGGACGGGATTGAGAGTAAGATTACCGCTACCGCATGATCCAACACAAAAAGAAGAGACTTCACTCATGTCAATCCAAATGCCATCGAATGAAAAGTCTGAATGCCATGCGGTCAGCTCGTCTGACCACCATTGGTGTGCTCCAGTGCCATTTAACACGGAACCAATCCAGTCAGGAAAGACCGTGTACCCAGGCCATACGCTTCCTATGTATAAACTGCCATCGGGGTTCAACATAAAACTGTCAGTTTCATTGCCACGGTTGAAAGGAGGGTATGCATCAGTTTCATTTTCTGGATTAGGGATATAGATTGCAGAGTCAACAATTGGAACAATATGTTGTCCATTGCCGTGAAGTTTTGAAATGAATTCAGCACCTTCAGGATATCCAAATCTGACTTGGTCAACTTCAAAGTCACGGTATTGATTCATGTAATCAATATCCAACCAGATCGTCTCTAATGGGAGGCCAAAATTTGCGAAATTGTCTACTACTTTGCCGAGTTGAGTCCAATTTGCGTAACCCCATCGACATTGGTGATATCCGAAAGTAAAATATTGTTGCATCGCTGGGAGTCCAACTGCACTGATTTGATATGCTTTGGTGACCTTTTCTTGTGTTGGTCCAGCATAGAAATACAGATCAATGCTACCACCGAGGGTCCTCCACGTTATATTTGATGGTTTCATCAAGACTTCCTGGCCATGGGCATTTCGTTGATAGACACCATGAGTGTAAGAAACGTAGTCTGCGGTGATATTCGTTGCATTTGCGACATATGTCATGTTTCCTGTACTTGCATCAACCTCGTAGTATCTTGTGTCAAGATAAATTCCATGGTTGCCGTAAATGTTTGCGTCGATATTATCACCAACATCAGCGGCCCAGAAAGTACGAGTAAAGTTATTGCCCATACGAAATCCATGGATGGATTCTCCTAAGCCATAAAGATTGTAGTTTTCTGGCAGGGAACTAGCAAATTCGATGAATTGGTTTTCGTAAATCAAGCTAGTGCCGTCGGTAGAGAAGAGAACGTCGCCAGTGGATCGACGAAAGACTGAAAACGAAAAGGTTGGATCATTGCTCCACGAAAAGCTGAGGTCACTATTCAGAGTGGTAGAGTTCGCATCGGCATCGATGGAGGGTTTCTCTACAAGGGACTCTGGGAGAATGAACCAAGAGCTGTTCGAAGGTCCAACATAAGTAGGAACAATCTCAACATGAAGACGATCTTTCGATTGATATTCTACTGTCAGATTGAGAAAATCTACATCCGTTCCATAAACATTGCAGGCATCACCAGCTAATGACAAGAATGCAGTCAATCCGTAATTAGTTCGTTTGATATTTGATGCTGTATAGCCCGGACAAACATCTTGCGGATTGACTGCTTGCGGATCTTGGATATTTGGGATGACAGGTGCGCTCACATCAACCGAAGCGGGAAGTGTATAAACGGAACGATAACTTGTGGTAGTATTTGTCTGTGAAGATGTTGGACTTTGCGCAAATGTTGTGTGGAGAATTGCTGTGGCAAAGGCAGCAATTGTGACACCAAGCCTTCCCCCCATTGTTCCTCGGACGGGCTTAAGGTAGTGATAAATAAAGTGAAAAATCAGAAGCAGGAGAAAATAAGTCCATAGATCAAAGTATGATGCAGAAACTGATGGCTGAGAAAGAAAGGAGGTGGTGATAGCTTCCGGAGAGCAATCGAGTGAGTTTATATAATATAACCACCCCTCCTCCGCACTCCGCCTTTTGCCAACCCCGCTCAAGAACAGATCCCGTATTAAATAGATCAACGTCATGGAAGCCCAAAAAAAAAAAATACTTACTCAATCAAAGGACGTGATGTTGTGAGACCTTGTTAGCTACGGATAGAAGATTGACACCTTCGAAATAGAGCATGTACAAAAGGGCCGAAATGTATGCAAGAAGTGATGGCATATACTTTGGACGGGAACATACTGATGAATATAGAAATGATCAGCAGGTCAATGTTTTTGAGAGAAACAAGTGATATTCAAATATACTTGTCAGAAGTGCAGTGAGGTAGCTAGTACCATGTAGTAAGTGGTTATGTTGGGGAATTGTGAGTAAAAGTTTCAGCGAACAATTTGTGTGATAATGCAGCTCGAGTGTGGTAATGAAGGCGGGAACGTGGAAACGTGGGAATGTGGGGTTAGAAAAGGCCGGGGAACGAGGGGAATTAGTGCAAAGCGGCAGAATGGGCCTAGCACGTGCTTAGGTAGTACTGGGCTGGTAGTCTTAGTCGTATGGAGTACGAAGTATATCCGACCGAACCTTGTTATGAGAGAATGTAATGTAAGCAAGCGGGTTAGAAAAAAGAGCAAGGAGAATTCCTGCGAAGAATACAGCGAAGAATGTAGCGAAGTGGAAACTTCTGCCAACATCGAGTGTTGACAGGATTATTTTGCATCTTCTTCATTCTCTCCATATAAACATTTGGTTAATGGAACAGCCCGTACGATGGCCCTGAGACTCGCGAGGCAGGTATATTTACTACCGCTTGTCCAATGGTGGCAATACTACCTAGCTAGCATACGAGCCTGCGTAGTAGCTTACCAAATCATGCTAGTCTGCCTACCTGGTGCCTAAGGAAAGAATGATAATCAATCATACACGGTAAAATGGTGTCTCATCCTCTTCGATACTTCTCGTGCCAACGATGCGCAAATCATTCAACATCGACATTGTCAACTTGACATAAACTAACAGATAACGTATCGAACTATCGATAATCATATCCTTGATATGAGAGTCGGACCGGCACATCATTGGCAGCAATGTCACACTCTTTGGTAAATTGTGAGCTTGCCCAGTACCCTACTTACTTTTGACCAACATTAACTTCGTCTCCTTAGGATTTTTATTTTCCAGAATTCGCTATGTTCTTCGCTCAATCTTGAACACACTCCAATCAGGTGGACTTCTTGCGAATTTAAACAATTCGTTCTTTGTGGACGCAGAGCGAATTGGCTTGCGCATTGTGCGACTACGAAACAATCAAACCGCAGACTCCGAGCTCAATACAAAAACATTAACGAGCGTCACATATATCTCGCCTTTTTATCTTCGACATCATTCAAAGTCTTCTGGCATACGGCTCTGAATCGCGCTACCTAGGTGTGGAAGTGAAAAAGATATCCAACATAATTGCCATTTCCGCAGTTCACCCCTCGAGCGAAACAAACAAACAAACAAACAATGTACAAGATTTCAGGAAGGTTAAATATGGAGTGGAAATATGAAGTATAACACTGCCATGGAATATTATATCGCACCATTTTCTCGGCCTTAGCTGCTTTGGTGACTTTTTGTCATGAAAATTGATACCCGATTTCTCAACCTCGAACGCCGCAGTCTATATAAAAAAGTGCTGGGTGGATGATTTTCGATTTTCTGTGAAACCTATCCATAAGCATCCGTCTTCTCATCATCATGGACGCGTTAACAAATCACGTTTCTGTCGAATATTTGCATCTGGCTTTGGTTGCATCAAAATGGGCAACATGCCTGCCGGTGACTACAGGACTCGGTGTCGATAGCATGCTGGTTGACACTTCTCACCGCATATTCAACGTTACCTAACACTTGGCTTGTCTCTAATGTTGCCGGTTTGTTTTAGATCAAGATGTCGCAATGCCACTCTGCAGGAAAACGTCCAATTCCTGTCAAAATCAAGACTGAGTCGCTTGTTCTACTTTTGATAACGGTAACCTTTATTCTCACATAATTATGCGTTCGCTTTTATACCTCGGTATATTACACAAGGTACGATTTATATATTATTGTAAGTAATAACAACATGGTTATCCCGGTAATCCTATTTCACCAACATGTTCAATATGGCATTTTGTTTGAATATCGCCGACATTATTTATCCTCTTAGTCTTATGGAGTTTGTAATCTTTCAGATGAACATCCAAATATCGATATTCGATGTGGAGGCTCCTGTTGAGAATCGTCCGTGTTCGAGACTATCTGATGATTTTTTGCTTACCAACGTCGATTCCATGACGAGAGCCAAGCAGTATTCATATATTCTTAACCTACATCCTCGATCTTTTTACTGGGAATGAGCTCGGAGCTCCACAAATCCTATGTCTTTTTCCGCACAGCTTTCGGACTACCGTTTATGGTTCTCTTATATAAGATTTTCATTGGGTGTCGCTCAATCTGCGAGCGACTAGTTTCAATGGCCCATTCTCTTCCTTTAATGATAGTGCGTAATTATCTACTGTCAAGCTACATTGTGATAATATGACAGTGTTCAAGCTAGTAACTTGAAGCCTCGAACATCAATGCTTACAAAGTACAATACTTTGTGGGGACCAATTGTGTACCACGACAGGGTGGTTTATATGCCAATTTTCCGGGGATCGAAAATGATTCCATTTTTACTTCTATGCGCACCCACATAATACCACGACCTGTTATCGAGCCTTCCTTTGAGTCTATGAGCCTGTCTTTATTCGAGATGTTACGTCTGATATATTTTCCCAGCATCGAGCAGAAACCAATCCTCAGACCCTGCTCCATCATTCTCACGTTGCCCTAGTAAAAGATTGTGTCGTGTATTTAGCAGGCCTTGAAGATAATGTATTGCTTCTGGAGTTATTCTTTGAAATCCATTTACCTTCTTTTCATCTTGTCGTACAAGCTTCGCCGTGTACACGCGTCAAATATTTATGCATGATTCAATTTTGAGATGGTGCGATAGTGATAATCTGGAATAGTCTGCAAAATCCCTTGGCTTCTCCAATCGTCTAGCTGTTGATTTTGCTTATGGATCTTCCACGCCACGGTGTCGGTGGAGCTTTCTATCTGCCGGGTCATGGCTGTGAGGAATCAGTGAAAGTACCGATCGAGAGACTAACGATCATGTATTTGTTTGGATCCAGAATTAACGTCCCAACAATCGAGTATCGTGGGTTGCATTATTGGTTGCATGTCATGAATGTTTCATTCTTCATTACACAAGAAACCTTCCATGATTTTCCTTGTCAGTTCCCTGCATATGCACTTTGAAAAAGTCGATTGATAATCAATTCGCTTTTGTCATTGGCTTACTATCAGAATTCGTGCTACGCATAATTTTATTGACCTTAGCAACACCTACGCAACACCTGCGGACAGTTGCATGGTAAAGTGATGTCTCGGCTTGTTGTTGACGAGTGATTTGTGATTCTTGGGGCGTGGTTCCAGATGCTTGTCTGGAAGCTTGGTTTGCGTGATTTGATTTCTCATGGATCCATCGAGAAGAGAATGCACTCATCTTACTTTGCGATTATTCTAGTACCTCTTGGGAATCAGTGCCAGAACTTTTTGAATATAAAAAGGCTTTCCCGACCCATCCTTTCACTATTTCTGTAACGATAGTTTTTCTTTAAAGCCAGCCAGCTTGTATCATCAATTCCGTCAAGATGTACTTGGCAACAGTCCTAAGCCTCGTGGGCTTAGTCGCAGCTCAATGTCCGTACGGAATGGACAGACAACCCCAAAAGCGCGAACCTAATGATGCTCAGACCAGGAGTTCTAGTTTCTTAGACCAGTTTACAATAAATGACACCAGTACATACTTCACTACCGATGCGGGTGGGCCTATACAAGAGGATACTAGTTTAAAGGCTGGTGTGAGGGGCCCGACACTACTTGAAGATTTCATATTTCGTCAAAAGATACAACACTTCGACCATGAACGGGTATGTGTTCACTTCTTTACAATCAATGGTTCTACTAAATTATTGCAAAGGTACCAGAACGTGCCGTCCACGCCAGAGGTGCCGGTAAGCACAGAATCATATCTCTTGGCAGATTATTATTGACATTCATGTAGGTGCACACGGTGTTTTCACAAGTTATGGAAATTATAGCAACATAACGGCAGCTAGCTTTCTGAATCAAGAGGGCAAAGAAACACCTGTCTTCGTTCGATTCTCCACTGTTGCTGGAAGTCGAGGTAGTGCTGATACTGCACGCGACGTCCATGGCTTTGCTACTAGATTCTATACTGATGAAGGAAATTTTGGTATAAAAAATCGTTCTTATCTCGGTAATGCTGAAAAACTTACGAGATTTTAGATATTGTTGGGAATAATATTCCTGTTTTCTTCATTCAAGATGCAATCCTTTCCCTGATCTGATTCACGCTGTCAAACCATCCCCAGACAACGAAATACCTCAAGCAGCAACAGCACACGATTCTGCTTGGGACTTTTTTAGTCAGCAACCAAGCTCACTACATACACTCTTATGGGCCATGGCTGGAAATGGAATTCCAAGATCATTTCGCCATATGGATGGATTTGGTATCCACACATTTCGTTTGGTTACCGATTCCGGTACTTCCAAACTAGTCAAGTGGCATTGGAAGAGTAAGCAAGGAAAGGCAAGCTTGGTCTGGGAGGAAGCCCAAGTACTTGCTGGAAAGAATGCAGACTTCCACAGAAAAGATTTGTGGGATGCCATTGAGAGCGGCAATGGCCCTGAATGGGAGCTCGGGATTCAGATCGTGGAGGAAGATGATGTGTTGAAGTTTGGATTTGATCTTTTGGATCCCACCAAAATCCTTCCTGAAGAGCTTGTTCCAGTGCAAAAGATTGGAGTCATGAAATTGGATGCTAACCCTCGGAATTACTTCGCAGAAACAGAGCAAGTTATGGTAAGAAATTTTCCTGCATCCTGAAAGACTGGCGTATCCAAAACTATGAACTGCAGTCCAATAACCAAAGACTTGAAATCTTCAGACACACTGATTGCCATTCTACTATTCAGAATATTGGAAATACTATGGGAGATATCATGCTGATAGTAAGTGACATAGTTCCAACCAGGGCACATAGTGCGTGGTATTGATTTTACGGATGATCCACTTCTTCAAGGACGCATATTTTCATACCTCGATACACAATTAAATCGTCATGGTGGACCAAATTTCGAGCAACTGCCTATCAATCGCCCCATTGTCCCTGTTCACAACAACAATCGCGATGGTGCGGCGCAACAATTTATCCCTCTTAACATTGCTGCTTATTCTCCAAATACTCTCAATGATGCGGCTCCAAAGCAAGCAAATCAAACAATCGGTAGAGGGTTCTTCACAGCTCCTGGAAGAACGGTCTCAGGTAATCTAGTAAGAGAGGCCTCGTCAACTTTCTCAGACGTTTGGTCTCAACCCAGGCTATTCTACAATTCTCTCATCCCAGCAGAACAACAATTCCTCATTAACGCGATCCGATTCGAAACTTCTCAGCTTACATCTAGCGTTGTGAAATCAAATGTTCTCATTCAATTGAATCGCGTTTCACACGATCTTGCCGCACGTGTCGCTTCGGTCTTGAATCTACCAGTTCCGGAAGCAGATAACACTTACTACAATGACAACAAGACTTCCTTCATCACCATATTTGGCAATGAGCTCCCAACGATAGCCACACTCAACATCGGAGTCTTGGTGAGTGTTAAAAACAATGCAACTTTAACACAAGCAGCCAATCTTGCAACATCGTTTTCGACATCCGGGGTCAACGTCAAAGTCATAGGGGAACTCCTGACAAACGGAGTGGATGCAACCTATAGTGCATCAGATGCGACACTATTTGATGGTATCATCGTAACTGATGGCGCCGAGACTTTGTTCACAAACGGTTCAAAATCAACGTACTTCCCAGCAGACCGACCTCGTCAGATCTTGTTGGATGCGTACAATTGGGGAAAGCCTGTGGGAATTTTGGGAAATGCGAGAACGGTATTAAATGTTACGTCAATCTGTGCTGGGCCAGGCGTGTATAGTAATTCAACGAGTGTTGGTGCACTTGTCAAGGAGTTTGAAGCCGGACTGAAGACTTTCAGGTTTGTCAATAGGTTTTCCTTGGATGATTGAAGGGAGCTGCCTATGGTTGGCTTGAGAGATGTATTTCAATCTCTACTCATGTTCAACCAATGATAATATAGAACAAACAAATCATAATCATCTCCACACTCAAAGCAGACTTTTGGTTCTATGAACTTTGAGTGTCTAGAAATCTGTAATTTCTCAACTATATTAGTGACTAATATTGATCATGAATTCTATAGTCACTTAATCTTTATCTTCACCACATGTACGATTTTATGAGCTATCTTACACTTGAGTGCAATAATTAATTTAGAAAATAAAACGACATTCAAGGCAGAAGTTCAATGCCCAGGCTCAAATATTACCTTGTGTACCTGCATTTTGTTGAAGATATCATATCCTTCGACTACTTTACTCAAGGGCATAATCTTATCAGTCATGAAACTGTATCACATTAGAACCCTATTCTGAGAGGTTTTCAGGATCGGTTTGGAAAAACTCACTCAAGTTTATCTTGGTTATTTTTGAGAACCTCCATAGCTTGTGAGAAAACACTTCGGACAGGACATCGTCCAAATTGTGATTTCACGTTCTTCCCATAGGCCTCCATACCCGACCAAGGAATTTCATCTTGTTGCACACCTATGATCACAGTTTGTCAACAAGGTGGTGACCTCTCTGAACCAAGACATCAACTCACCGAAGCTCGCGATTGTTCCCCATGGCCGCAGCAAATCGAATCCAGTTCTCAGCGCATCTGCATGACCGACACCCTCAATTACACAATCGGCTCCTCTTCCGTCAGTCAGTTCTTTTACTCGCTTCGTCAATCCTTCTTTGTTCGTCTGATCGTTCCACGGTTCCGCGCCCAACGTTTTAGCCAATTCCAACCGACTCTCCACACGATCGATAGCTATCACGATCTTTGGTTTATACTCCAAAGCATTGATCAAGGCACAAAGACCAACCGGTCCGCAGCCGATTAAAACCACAACACTATTGCTTATCGTTTCTTGCGACATTCCATCGAAAGCATTCCTAGCCGCAAAATATCCGGTAGGGAAGATATCTGCCATCAACACCAGCTTTTTCTCATCAATACCCTCAGGGCCTTTACAGCTGTTGCATCTGCCAATGGCACTCTCATATACTCGGCTTGACCGCCATCTAGTAAAGGACATCCGAATAACAAACATTTTTCGCATCGCGACGAGTATCCTCTTATACAATAGAAACATTCACCACAAGACACGGTGAATGGCATGACAATCAAGTCGCCTTTCTTATGTGTCTTTACATCGTTTCCCAATTCGACGATCGTGCCTGCGGTCTCATGACCCATGATGAAGCCTGTCTTCGAAGCTTGATGTCCCCTGAAAACGTGGAGTTCACTGTGAAGTCGATCAATTTCGGGCTTTCTGGTCAAAGATTTACAACGCAAGGTCAACTTACCTTCCACACAATGCCGAGTATTTGACCTTGATGATTACATCCGTTTGATCCACGATTTTTGGGATGGGTCGATCTTCGAGTCGAACATCGAGAGTTCCATGGAACACTACGGCTTTCATAGTTTCTTGAGTCATTTTTATGAGAGGCTTAGATGCTTGCTCTTATGATGTTTGAGTATTTTAGAAGGGATCCAGAATTGGATTATTTCAATATGCTGTGAGCAGTCAATATAATAAAGGACCTTCTACAATACCTCGGAAACTTGTTATATTGATTATTTAACTTCATTGCCGGGATTTGCGGGGTGATCAATTCGAGGAGGGGTAATTAGTGGGGACACATTTTGTTCTTACCAAATCCTCTCGAAAATCATCTTTTGGCTTAAGTTGGGTCCAATTAGTCAGTTTACTTAAACCATATTCAAAAAATTTGAGGCGTCGGGCGTTTTTATGACGTGCGGAATCGATCCATCCAGTCAATCATCGATAGAGAGGGAGTGTAGAATCTTGTTTGACCACGTACAAAGTAAAGCTTGGAATAGCTCAGACTAGAATGTTTTTTGGTTCTTTTTTAGCTCACATCTCACATCTCATAACTCACCCTACAGCTTAAATATTTACCTGAATGTACTAACTAATATTTGTAATTGTGTCGTCCCAGCTTGTGCATTGTAAGATGTGAATGCTAAAACAAGTTCGCACTGGTTCCATAAAGCGGGGTCGAGTGGATCATATCGATCACCGGTATAATAATTCATAGAGATCTCCCCACCAGACCTCAATCTTTAAAAATTCTATTTATATTAGATACAAATATCATAATATTAAATTTAAGCATTCAACTCCTCAAACAACAATTCTGATCACACATAAAAATATGGCAGGAATACAACGAGCTCTCGATTCAGGGGCAGTACCTGCTCATGTCTCCAATGTCTGTCCTCCAGGGACAAGGGCATATTTACTCGAACTCGGGTGGCTAGAATGTGACGAGGGGTTTGTAACAAGAGGTGGTAACACATCGTTGAAGTCTACAGAAGGAGAGAAGTTCGTGAACAAGCGAAGAGAACTACCAATATATGCCATATTAATTGATCACCCTTTCGAAGGTGTAATACTTTGGGAAACAGGATGTGGGGTTGATTATCCCGAAGTTTGGGGTCCACAAGTAATCGATATTTTTGCACGAATTAAGTATGAACCAAGACACGAATTGAAAGCAGCAATTGAAGCAACAGGACACAAATTGGAAGATGTCAAAAAAATGTAGGTTGCCTTTGACAGATGGGCTAAGAAGATATACTTACCGAACAATAGAATTCTGGGCCACCTGCATTTGGATCATGCAGGCGGATTGGATCAATTCCTGGAGAGAAAAGATGTCGAGATCTGGGTTCATGATAAAGAGTTGCGTTCGGCATTTTGGTCTGTTGCCACTGGTGCTGATGTTGGGGTCTACTTAAAACATTATTTGGATGTAAGCTAGTCTCTTGCTATGATTGATGTCTCGTCAAATGCTGATTCCGAAAAGCTATCGTTGAATTGGAAGACATTCGATGAGAGAACCGTCGACTTTTGTCAAGGAATTACTCTCCATCACCTTCCTGGTCACACAGATGGTCTCGTGGGAATGCAATTGAACCTCCGGGAGACTGGAACATTCTTTTTCATCAGTGACCACTGTCACGTCATTGAAAATGTGGGTGGAAATTCTCCTTATTCTGGTCAATGTTATAATCTATTAACAACATGATAGTGGCGAGATGGAGTACCTCAAGGATGGCTAGCACGGTATGAAATGCTTGATACCACTGAACGAGAAAGGGAAGCTAACATGAAGTTACAGTGATCATCCAGCTTGGTTCCAAAGTACCCAGCGATTGAAACGGTTGGAATCTACAACCAAAGGTCGAGTGATACCAGGGCACGATAAAGGAACATTTCTACAGCTTCAAGGTGAGATTAATGATGGAAAAGGCTATCTAGATTAGTAAATTACGGTGTGTATGACTATGTGGTGAGGTTGCATCAGGAATACATATAATCTTAAACCCCCTGTTTTATTTTTCTCAAACAAGCCTGTGTAATTTTTACCTTTACTTTCGAAAAGATCAACAGTCTGAACTGCAGGGCAAAAACGAAAGATCTTTGGTAAATTAAGATCTTTCCTAATATTGAAACTGTTTCAAATTTCGAGACACTCTTGGTGAACTTGATTCGTAATAACCATTTTGTCGAAATAATTTAAATATTGTCAAAACCCTTGAACTAAAATATTGAATTAACTATGGTTAGATATCTTTACACGAGGCAAGGACGATACACTTCACGATGCCCGAGCCAGCACTTGCCTCACAATCGAAAATACGATGAATTCTGCGACATACTCTTATGTTGAAAGACACCAGACTTCAACTCTTGTACTCTAACACATCAGATAGTCTATTGCTCGAAGAAACCATTATCTGGACTTCCTATTGTACTTTCATAAAAGTTAATGAGCTAGAGAGGATTCAGATGATATGCACCACTTTGATACTCGATGTCCCCTCTAGAGCGACAAAGCAAAGTGAGAAGAGGAAACTTCCCACAAGCAAGCACTCATAACCGTGAATGGAAGAATGAGATTGATGAATATATATTTAAATCATGGCTGGGGTTTCAATCGTATGATATTCAGGTAGACAGCTTATTAAGATAGAAGACGAGAAAGGTGCAAGTAATGTCTAAACCACAAAGTTACCACCTGCAAAGCGACTTTTGAGATAACTCCGAGATTCGAGCAGTACTGCTGCGGAAATTTGAGAGAAAGAACATGAGAAAATGGTCCGAGGAAAGTTCAAGAAGTAAGAACAACTTGGGAAATAACTGCCTGGTCTCTAGCAAGATTTGAGAATTGAACCGCCGCTTGGTAACAGTATCGGTTCCACGACTAATTCATCTGCACATTATATAAGTGCCTACAAATCTCGATATCGCAGTGTGACTGGAGTCGTTTGCGCTGGTGACGAGCATCGGAAATAACGTGTAAAGGATGAATTTATCAGATCTCTGCACACGACAGAATTTTAGCCCTCTCCACCCCACACACCTCCTATCGCTCTGCCACCTATTGCAATATATGTGACTGATACTTCATATAGTTCTGTATTCGCGAGCTCCCAAATTTTCGATAAGATAGAGTGGCGCAGAGTGAATCCTTTTGCTTTGCTTTCGTAGAAGTCTAGGTCGCCTTCCATGTGATTGCGTCCATGACCTACAGTGGAGAGCAAACACGAAATGAAGCGAAAACCAATTGAGCCTCGTGACACCTGGATGTAAAGCGCGAAGACTGGAGGCCGGCACACTGACATGCATCGGCCATCTGGGGCAAATGTGCATGGTCTGCATTGGGACAGAATCTTGAGTTGAGGGAGAGAAAAGAGAGGAGACTCTGAATCAACGTTTCCTCTTCCCCAATATGATGATGATATTAATGGAATAATAGAATGACAAGAGAAGCATGACCCCAGAACAAGAGGATTTTGTTGACCTGCATTACCTAGGTGTGTATATCCAATGTGAGATCTTCCAATTCATTGAATTCTTCTATATAGTTACTAGTAGTACCTACTTTGGTATATTAGACTGTAACATCCTTTCAGCTCAGGCCATTTCAACCTCAAACCTTGCTTGTACTGTAAGTCAAACATCGGAAGATAAAAGTCTATTCGGGAAAAATGAAGAGCCAATCAATTAATTTTATTTTCATCATTTCACACAAATTAATGATAATGCACCAGTCAAAAAACCCAAAAATGTTATTTCCCCAGTTCAGCCCAAAATTTGCGTTGATCTTCCATACTACAGACAGTACTAAGCAAAAACCTTGGAAACTTTCTTCTGATCCTTCATCATTCTTCCTCTTCTTACTCCTTTCGACTTCTTACTACCACCACCACCTCCTTGGGAGAAAAATCAATTTACATTCCATTCTACTTCTAGAATCAACCATATCAATAGCAAATGCATATCGAAAGAAACTATATAGAAATCTTTACATTCCACTGCGAGAACCTGATGCGACCATCTAAGAATCACCAAAAGTTACATCGAAATTATCGTTCCCAAATTCGAGCTGACGCTGAACGTCGCCGTGGTGCACCATGAATCAATCGCAGGCACAACAGAAACCAGCCATAACTACAATTCGAGGCTTCCAAACTCCTGCCGTTTCGGGCGATGAAGATTCTGATTATGGCTGCGATACTCCAGCACGATATAACCCCAAGATCGGTGATGTTGTCAGCGCAAATTGCAGCCCTTCATTGAAACCGTTCAAATCCCCAGGAATTGGTGGCATTAGCAGATTAAAGCTACAACTCGATACTCTTAACTTGGAGAATGAATCCAGAATAAATTCCATGGTGCGCAGCCGCCCTCAATCGCAACCACAAAGCAGTACGGCAACGACGTCCGATGACTTGAGTGATGATGAACGATCCGATAGCACGACATATGAGATACCCTTGGAACATGATTTTGTTAGTGAAAGTGTGCGGGCACAACCAATGTTCGGTGCAATTGAAGGAGGATTGATTCAGGATACTATTGCGAGAAAGATGGCTGCAGACGATTTTGAACCCTTACGATGTTTAGGCAAGGGAACATTCGGGACTGTCATTTTGGTCAAGCAACGTACAACCGGGACATTATTCGCTCAAAAACAATTCAAGAAGGCATCCTTGACGATCCATAAGAGATTGGTGGAGCAGACGAAGACGGAGAGAAGCATTCTCGAAAGTGTAAACCGGCATCCCTTCGTCGTCAAATTATTTTACGCCTTCCAGGACCACGAAAAATTATATTTGATCTTGGAATATGCGCAAGGCGGAGAATTATTCACCCACCTTGCACAGGAACGTATGTTTTCCGAAGAAGTCGCATCATTTTACATGGCAGAGATGGTTTTGGCCCTGGAGCATCTTCATCGCAATCTTGGAGTTGTCTATCGCGATCTCAAACCGGAAAACTGTTTATTGGATGCCGAAGGTCATTTACTTCTCACCGATTTTGGACTGAGTAAAGTAGCTGTGGACGAAAATGATAAATGTGACTCTTTGTTAGGTACTGTTGAATATATGGCACCTGAAATCATCCTTGGACAAAAGTATGGAATGGCCGTGGATTGGTGGTCTTTTGGTGCTCTTGGGTTCGACTTATTGACTGGCAGCCCACCATTCCAAGGTCAAAACAATAAAGTAATTCAGGACCGGATCACGAAGCAAAAGCTTGCCATGCCTTACTTTTTAGGACCTGATGCCAAAGATTTGTTGACTCGCCTTCTCCGTAAGGAACCCAATAAAAGACTCGGAGCTCATATGCCCAAAGACATGGCCATTATCAAGAAACATCGATTTTTTCGTCGTATAGATTGGCAGAAGCTTGCAAAGAGAGAAGTCGATGCACCAATTCAACCATTCATAACAGATCCAGAACTTGCGGAGAACTTTGCGGAAGATTTCACGGAGCTCTCTTTGAGTCCTGTAGTTACTAGTCATAATGGTGTACCATGGAGCGCGACTTCTGCGAACGAGAATAACCCTTTCGGTGGATTCAGTTATGTTGCAAGTCAGAGTTTATTGGATTCAAATGGTTTCTTGGAGATGCATCAAAATAAGGTGATAGCGTAAATTTGGTTTCTTGGGAAGAAGGGGGGTCATGTTTCAGTCTACAGTGACGGACGTATCTTCAACAAGTATGGTATTTATACATGAGGAGTTGCCTTGGGACCACTTGGAAATACGCCGCACACATTGCTTATTCTGTAATCTGGAGCAATAGACCAGATGTTGGTCTATTTGGTAGATCATATATTTGTTTTTCTGGTGTTCTGTCTTCACAGGCAGATGGTTAGGAAGTGAGGAAAAGTTTGTGGCGATTACAGGCGGCGATAATGGATTTAATGGTTGGCGGTAATTAAGAATTTTACAGAATGGGACAATTCATAGATTGCTATTGGAGTATAGGGAATGATTAATTGGAAATGATTGTGGAAAGTTTGTGACCTTGGTCGAACCGTCATTTTCGAATGAATATCTTATTGTTGTGACTGAAATGTCGATTGCGATATCTAAAAGCTGCCACTGGCACTCACACCCGTATCTAGGGTAATTCTTCTTCTCTTTCTTTTCTATTCCGAACCACAGCGATTAATATCACATCTTTGAATGATCGAGAAGAGAATACTACCTAATCCTTACTACCTACCTAGGTATATAGATAGATACAGATAATGTGTTAGAATGGCATTTTGAGGTCGTGATCTTTGAGGTTTCGATTATAATCTTCAATCACGTCATTACTTCCTGAATATCCAATCCATAAGGTACCTACCTACTCACACCCACCTACATAAACACCCACCTCTCAAACCTTTACAACAATTTTACACCCATCTAACACCAACACAACACGTCAAAAGACAACCTTCGGTCCAACTACTTTGCAACTGTCTTCGCAAATTATTAAATCATGGTACGTACTCAGTAAAATACCACAAATTATTTCTAATTCCTCTAATTGATATTGATATCAGGGAGGAGGAGCTAATTTACCTCCCCAGTCAGAAGACTCAAAATCAGCCGTCGAACTTCTCATTCTCGGAGCGGGATGGACATCGACTTTTCTCATCCCACTTCTTCAACAAAGAGGAATAAAGTACGCGGCCACTACTACTACAGGTCGTGATGGAACTTACAAATTTCGATTCAATCCAGAAGATGACACTGATACTCGAAAACAAATGCTTGACCTTCCAACAGCTCAGAGTATATTGATTACATTCCCTCTGAAAGGAAAGGGGCAATCAAAATCTCTTGTAAAATTTTATCAAGATACACACTCTTTGGAATCTATCGAAAATCATGGGTCATTAGCCTCATTTCAATTTGTTCAATTAGGAAGCACAGGAATTTTCACTATCCCAGGTCAAAGTACATGGGTCACACGCCATTCAGCGTATGATAGTGCTGATGATCGAGCTGTCGCTGAGGATGAACTTCTCGGATTGGATGGATGTGTCCTGAATTTGAGTGGATTATGGGGCGGTGAACGAAACCCAAAGCATTGGATTGAGCGAGTGGCTGCTTCAAAAGAGATGCTGGGCGGTAAAAAGAGTTTGCATATGGTACATGGACTTGATGTGTCGAGAGGGGTGATAGGAGTGATTGGAAATTGGGAAAAGGCAAGAGGCCAAAGATTCGTAAGTCTGTCGTGATACTAAATGATTCTTCACTAACCTCATCATTAGATATTGACTGATCTGATGGTCTATGATTGGTGGTCATTAATCTTGGGTTATGCAGGCGAATTAGATTCGGAAAATGGAGACCAAAAGATGGAGGGTAGGCAAATAAAATGGATCGGTGAGCTGATGAAGGAACATGCTGTCAAAGCTTTACCAAGATCAATGGATGACTTGGGAAGGTGTTATGACTCCAGAGAGTTCTGGGAAAGCTTTAAAGTCATGCCTGTAAGATCGAGGATATGATTTGGATAGTAGCTGGAATGAAGATGTCTGGTGTCTTGCTGCCAGCCACGATCCATACAAAGGCCTGCCTCATCGCCACTCAAACTGTGAGTTCAGAGCGAACCAGGCATGGAAAGAAAGTTTGTCGGTCTAGATACATCATTCCTTAGGAAAAGCCTTGCAAAGTTGCGGGAAACGAGAGAATGAAACAGATTTATTTCAATAATAGCATTTACTATTTTCTATTCATAAGTGATTTATGCGTTGTATCAAAGAACATCAGTGTGCTCTAATTATCTGACTTGAATATTGTTGAGAACATGACGATCGAAAATGGCTAGGAGGGGTAGGTCACTTACATTGCACGCGGAGGAAATAATGATATTGATTGAATTGAAGTTATGCCTTTTGAATACTACACAAGAAAGGTTAGTCATATATGAGCGTAGACGCAGAGGCTAATTAATAGGCAATGAATCCACCTTATGAACATATCTTAATCTACTTGTTATAATTCAAATCACATTGGAGCCGTGGATGCAAGGTTATTTATTTACGAAAAATGATTTGATTTTTGGAGGGTTTTGTTGTTGATAAAGGGACAAATCGAACAAGGAAATTTATACTACCTATTCAAAGGAAGACAAAGGAAACAAAGGAACTGACATGAAGAGTCTCAGAAAGATAACAGAAGTAAGAAAACGTTGTACCTTGAAAATGAAACCATAAAGGAGTGTGGTTAGCGAGACGAGCTCAGCTGTCTCTTTCTCTTTTCCTTCTCTCACCCCACTTCCTCTAACCTTCCCCTTAAGCTCATTTTTCAAACTTCTTCATCAAATTCTTCACCTTTTCTCCGATCTTCCGGCCGACGACCTTGGCTGTGCTTGCTCGGGCCGGTGGTGAAGGTGGAGGTGGAGTTTGATGTGATTGGGGTTGGGGTTGGAATGTGGCTGCGCGGGGTGATTGAGCGGCCGAACTGTTTGGACGGATCTTTTCCCTACCATTCTTGTCCAAGGAGATGCGGCGCCTGTGATAAGCCAAAGGTTGTTTGGGTGCGAAAGATTGTTCGATGACTAACTCGAATGCCAGACAATTGCAGCACTTTGCATCTACTCGGACGCTAGGTTCTCGGAAGTAGTTTGGGCATTCAAGGGGTTTGAAGTCCTTTTTCTTGCTCTTGGATTCGGCTTTGAGTTGATCGGCACACTTGCGGAATGTGGATTTTGGTTCACAATCGCAAGTATGGACGACGGCTGAGTGTCGACACATGTTGATGGATGTTTTTGGGGGTGATCAGTAAATCTTATGTAGTAGTATTATCAGGCTGTGATAATAAAATCTTAGATAGAATGATACTGAGGTAAAAAAAGGGTTAAGTAAAGATCAAAAGAATTGACTTATGTATTCGAAAGTTCGACCTTGTTTAAATACTGGTTGAATGTTATTTTGATGTTGTTTGAATAGTATTTTACGATTGAATCATCTTTTGGCTGGAAAATCTAAGATATTTTCGTTTTCATGACAGATAGAATAAAACGGAGAAGCAATTGAATAACCACTTCCAGTTTAATGATAGTTTTAATATTGTTCAATCGTTGTAGTTACTGGAGTATGATTTCTTTGCATCAAATTTCAAGAAGTTTTATTGGTACGATGAAAACACGAGATAGAAAAGTCTAGAATATCAAAAAACACCGCTCAGACTATGCTCATGAGCTCAAATTCGACTTCGAATTTGTCTAATTTATTCGAGTTTATAATTCCGCATTCATGATACCCTTCAAGAAGTTGTACACCTGGATTGATTCTCTTCAAAGATCTATTGACGTACTCGAGGATAAGTTGATGGAATAAATCTCATAACTCGTTATTTTCGATCATAGCAATGCTGAAACTCAAGCTTGCTATCATCAGTTGTCAAACTAGTTATGACTGCATAACATCTGAATGAAAGACATTCTTATTCTCTTGCGAGCATTTTAAAGGAGAAATTCTATCCAAACAATACAAAATCAATAATCCAAATCGGGAGTTCAAACATACACATACATATCCAGATCAAATCCCAACCCAGCTGTTCCTGTTCTACTGGCTCCGTACGCTCCTCCCTTATATGTCATCTAAGGCCAAAATCGTATGAATGCAGATTCCTTTCGAACCGACTTTGAACGCCAAAATGAATCTAAGAAAAGTACAAAATAGTGACCTCAACCGTTTCGGCGCAAAATCATAAATATCTACTTCTCAAGGCCTGGCTGATCGTGCTCATCCTACTAGTCATACCACCTCCCGCTTGTATGATATGGTGTGAATGTACAATAGCGATGCTTACCGAGGGAACGTTTACAAAGTATAGACAGAGTCCCCAGATAATCCCACGCCTATACTGTAATGGATAATGGTATATCGATAGATCTGCAGTAGTTTTACTTTCGTAGACGACGGCCCAATTTTTGACGATTTTTTCCATGTTTAGCTTTTAACGTGAAACTGGTGGGGTTCGATGTCAAGCTGTTTATCCACTTGCCTTATGTTATATCACAAATCTTCCTCAGCTTGCCTTCTGGCTTTTAGTTCCTCGTATGGAAACTCAGCTCCCCAAGTGCTTTTCTTTTCGAGGCAGAAGCTGGAGATGAATATTTCGGGCACCCGCTATCGCATAAAGCAGTTTTCATAGCTTGACAGATTATAGCGGGTTCGTTGGTCGGTAAGATACTTTTTTCAATGTGGAGACTAGCATCAAAAGATTTGCAAGGTCCTCAACTTCTGCAAACATGTGTATGGAATGTCGGCTGTGTGCTGTACACGCACGTTATTGTTCGCCTCGCAGGGTGCTGATCATTTGGGGGATTGAGGCTCATAGTGCTTGATCGAGGAATACAACAAAACTTCTCCATAAGGATCCCCTATAAAAGGATAACCTTTCTATAAGGATAAGGATATAGTTTTGAATCCCAAGAAATTTTATGTTCAAAAATAACCTACATTCTAAAAACCTATGTACTAGAATATTCTTATATATTGAGATTGTAGAATCATATACATTCTTATTAGATTGATAAAATCATTAGAATTAAGTTTCTTCTCTACAATGTGTAGAGAAGAAACTTCCCGGACATTAACCTTAAATTTCCTGAGTAAACTAGGTTCTCCGCGGAAACAGGGTATGCACCCACATTATCTTGGTGAGGCTGCGAGTGATTGACACTTCAACGGATACCTACCACGTCAGTATGAAACCTGAATCTGCAGATAAATAATACAGATGAACAGCAAGTATAGCCAGAATCGTCTCGAAGTCCGGAGGGACTAGAACGCACCCTGTGCTGAGCACTGGCAGAAGCGGAGTGAGTGAGCCTGGTATTTGTCCTCTACGTCTCTAGTCCTGACCGTTCACGATCTTTTGTAGATACATAGGCATAGACATGTTCTCTCGGGGAGGGGCAAAATATAGTCTATCACTGGCAGCAATCCACGAAACTCGATATCTCAAATTTGATGGAGTTCACTAAAAGAGTGGAGAGCTCGAAAGTAAGGATAGCTTATCTCACTCTTTGTCGATTCGTAATGAAACCCCTACCAAAAAAGTGTTTTATCATAGAAAATTAAAAACTAAATCATTTTTTCGAATCATTTATTACAATCTTAAATTCGGATAAACGATCATTCAATATCTTAGAATCTTAAAAAAATAAATGAAACTTTTTTAATAATTTTTGCAATTGAAATACAAAGCCTTGTAATTGGAATTTTCAGAGAATTCTAATATAGAACACCTTTCCTATACAAAATAATCAATTTTTTTATAAAAAAAAATAAAGAAAATTTCAATTTTAACATCTTCTATTTCGATAACAAAATTTACCAAAAAAATTTCATTCATTTTTTTCAATAACTAAAGACTTTCAATTAATCAATCAACTTCATTCAATTTGATTTCACTTTTTATCGAATTGTTGAGAAGTTTAAAAGTTAAATAAATGGTGGTGTTTGATATGTTTTTGTTAATGGTGTGATAAGCTATGGCCATAACTCTTACATCTCGAGGCAGAGCACAAAACTGGACTAACATCTCCATCCGCCATCAATGCTAATGTCAGCTCCTGAGATGTACATCGACTCATCACTCAACAGAAATGCGACCAGCTGAGCAACATCCTTAGGTTCTCCATCTCTCCCCAGTGCAATTGGTGGGTAACTTGCACTTCCAGGCTGCAGGTGGAGACCAATCGAGTTTTCCGCAGTCCTTAGCATTGGTGTAGAAATGCGGCCCCTAAAGCTAACCTTCAGAACCCAAGAACATCATGGCCGAGATAAGATAGAGCACAGATCACTTACGGACAAATCGCATTCACTCTAATTCCTTTGCCACCTGCTTCCTTTGCTGCCGTTCTTGTGAGCCCAATGATCCCATGCTTAGCTGAAGAATAAGAGGCATTTTTTGCTGCCCCGGTTAATCCCCGAATTGAGGAAGCGTTCACGATCGAGCCGTTGTTAGCCATCACTTTCAGCTGAGCCTTTAAACTGTTCATTGTCCCGGTCAAATTGACTCCTAAGACAAACTCCCACTCGTCCAAGTCTTGTTCGACGATGCCTTTCAGTCCAATAGACTTCGGAGCAACTCCAGCCAGATTGGCTGAGCCATCTAGCTTTCCGAAGTTGTCTATGGTCTTGTTAATCCATGCTTCCACCTCTTCAAACTTCCTTACATCGACCTTAGTGATAATCACGTCCACGTGGTACTCTGATTCCAGCTGCGCTTGAAGTTCCTTCAATTTGTCCTCTTGGATATCTGCAAGTGACAATCTCGCTCCACGACTTGCAAGTAACTTTGCTGTTTCTAGGCCGATGCCCGAAGCTGAGCCTGTGAGAGCGATAACTTTGTTCGTAAATGGTTGAGAGGACATGATACCATGATATAGCGGAATGAGGTATGAGCTTTCAGGAATATCTTACTTTAGTTCAGAAAGATTGGGGATGTGATGTTTTATGTACACTTTTTTGACTAGCGACTGCAAATGTACAGGTAGACTTGTGACTCCTCTCTAAACCACGCGATTTAAGTTCTGTACAGCTATATAAGTCCAGCAGGGTAGTATCTTGTTCTCCGTAGGACCCTCGACTCCCCATGGAATTTAAACACTATCACTCTTTGCTTTGGTAGCAAAAAGATTATTTATGAAGAACCTTAGGGTTAGGGTTAGGGTTAGGGTTAGGTTAGGGTTAGGGTTAGGGTTAGGGTTAGGGTTAGGGTTAGGGTTAGGGTTAGGTTA